CATCAGCGCTGCCTAGTGGCTATAATGCATTTTTTTTACCGAATGAGGTATATATGGAAAAAAACACTAGGTGGCACTTAAGCTATAAGAAATACATATACAAGAGAAAATTTGGTGATTTTCATTCAAAATGTGCAGATATTTGCCACATCCACACAACAAATGTTTTATACATAGACCTAGGGCCGCTGATAAGGCAGTACAGCTGACCCTCCTGTACCAGATCCAGGCCCCATCAATTCAATGGTGGTCCCGGGCACCTGCCAAGCAGGAGGGCCTGCTGTACTGTCTTGTGACTCTTCTGGATCCCCCTGCAGCACTGCTGGCTCTCTCCTTCTGGCTGGCTGCGATCAGGGGGATCGTTTTTTTGTATCTGCCACTTCCAGCTGCTGTCTGGGCCCTCCTGTGTGCCTCCCCCCCCCCCCCCCCAGAACTTCTGGCTTCCCTCCTCTCCCGCCAGAAGCTGCTTCAGTCACACAGGGATTGTTTCAGGAAGGAGAGCTGGGGGGCCAGTAAACATGTCATTTACTGCCCCCTTCCTTCCTTTCCTGAATGAACACAGTGAGCAATCAGTAATGATCGTTCCTGTGTCCATTCATAACTAAAGCATAGTAAACTGTGTTTAATATGCTTTGGTTTGTGAATGAACAGGAAGCCGCTCAGCACAGAGCACTTCTCATTCATTCCCTGTCCAGTGCAGCTGAGGCTGCAGAAAGAGGGACTGGGGCAGGCTGTATGGGACCCCATGATTTCTAACAGCAGCACTGCATAGACCCATAATATTCTAATTTTGCACACCATTGATCAGACAAGAAACAAACTCCCTGCTGCAATCCTTTGATGTACTGAATGCAGGGAGTTGTCATTTTTGAAAGAAATTTTGCAGAGCATGACCAGTAAAAGGCTACAGTGCCACAGAGAGGTACTGGGAAAGTCCTGCTTAATCTGAAAGAGTAAACTGATGTAAAATCACGGGGCATTCTGCCTTGGTACAGGGGCAGTGTCTTCTCAATGTAATGTGAAGTTCTTCCATCTTGGTGGATGCCAAGTCTCTCCTAATTGAAATAGGCAAAGCCATTGTGGTTGGGGGTGATGCCTATTTGTTCTCAACCACAATCACACTAAGATTGTTATTAAAAATGACTTTGCCGTCCCTCATAGAGCTGCACCCAGAGCTCTTCAGGTCCTCTATGACGGCCTCTCTAAGGTCAGCTGGGGCATTCTTCTTAAAATCACAGGTTTCCGTTAAGAAGTCCAGAAGCAGCTCCCCATTCCGGTCCCCTTCTACAAAACACTCTGAGATGTCCATGTCAGATTTTAGGTCATAACTCTGGTACTTGGCGCCCATCGAACTCAACATGTCCACAATGTCGCCCGCTGTGATGTACAGGCACATATCGTTCAGAGGTAAGCGGGATCCATATTTCTTCCACAGCGTAGACCACCCACTCTTTCCTGTTAGCAAAAGTGAAGCCAAGTTTATTTTTTAAAGAAAATATTTTATACTCATAAATGGATACTAGAAACAAAGTGGACAAATGCCTGAAGGGTAACAATATACCCATAAATGATATTTCTGTTTTGGATAGATGGTGGTTCAAATGCCTCGCTATCAAGATATTTCTAAACTCTCCAGATACAATGGTGGTGGCCATAAACTTCAACTCTGGTAATTGCACAAAAATTACCCTAGCAGTGAGCCCCTTCCGACAGTGCAAGGGTTACATGCCCATTAGGGGTAGGAAATAAGCTGTAGAAATAATTACGTACCTCGCCTTGGGAGGCTTCAGCACTGTCCTCTTCTCTCTGACACTCTGGACCAAGGATGGTTCCTTGCTGTCCTAATGTAGAATAAAGAACTATTGGGCCTTCACTCTACTTGATGCCTTCCCGTGCAACCACTGGCCAGACAATCTTAGAAAAGAGACTTTAGAGGCCAGTTGCACAGATAGAGGGAGCCTACCAGAGCAAGTAATAGGCTACACCTTACTTCTCAACCCCCCATAATAAATAAAGGACCAGTTTAATGTCTTTCAGACTTTAGGGGGGTCAGCCTGTGGCCAATGGGAGTAGAAAATGTCCTGGTGTTAGTTGGAGTAAATAATGCCTAATTTTTGGTATTCGGAGAGGGAATATTGGCCCATTGTTGGTGTCAATGGGAGGAATAGTGGCCTCTCATTTGTGTCAGTGGGAGGAATAGTGTCCAACTGTTGGTGTCAATGGTGAGAATTATGCCTCATTGTTGGTTTCAGTGGAAGGAATAGAGCCCCATGGGCCTCATAAGGGCAAGCAAAGGACCACATCTGGCCCCAGGCAGCAATTTGGAGACTGCTGCCCTAAACTTAATGAGTTGGGCTCAAATGCAAATGGAACATTCCCCATTTAGTCTAAAAACCTAAGCTTCCCTTGAAGCCTAGCCCTTAACCAGAGCCTAACACTTGACACCTAACTTCACATGAACCTTATAATGGTAAATTCATGCAGGCTCCACCTCCGCAACATCTCCAAAATACAGTACGTTTGTACCTAACCCCAGACACTACTAAACAACTCATTCACTCCCTTATTATCTCACGACTCGACTACTGCAACTCCCTCCTCACCGGCCTACCTCATCACAGACTCTCCCCGCTTCAGTCTATCCTGAACTCAGCGGCCAGACTCATCCACCTTACCAACCGCTCCGTATCCGCCACCCCCCTCTGTCATTCCCTCCACTGGCTTCCAATTGCCCAACGCATAAAATTCAAACTACTAACATTGACGTACAAAGCTGTCATAATACTGCCGCAAACTACCTCACTGACCTGATATCCAAATACCACCCAACACTTACTCTTCGCTCCTCACAAGACCTCCTACTCTCCAGTTCCCTGGTCTCTTCCGCCATGCCGGACTCCAGGACTTCTCCAGGTCTTCCCCCATCCTCTGGAACTCACTACCCCAATCCATCAGACTGTCATCTACCCTCCTCACCTTTAGGCGCACCCTGAAAACCCATCTCTTCAGGGAAGCCTACCCGCCCTCACCTAACAGCCGATCTCCTCCACTCCTCCTACCACTCCATCCCCCACAGCCATTTCCTCCTGTACCGCTATCTCCTCCCTCCTAGATTGTAAGCTCCAAGGAGCAAGGCCCTCGAACCCCTCGTGTATTGTATTGTTACTGTATTGTCTCATGTACTGTCCCCCCACTATAATGTACAGCGCTGAGCAAACTTTTTGGCGCTATATAAATACTGTATAATAATAATAATAATGTACAGTACCTTAATGCAAGAACAAAAATGTATACATTTCACTGTACCAGTCTTTAGATGTGGTGGTTGCTTTTGTTTTCTTTTTTCACTTTATTTTCACCTGGTGATCTTGCCAGTAACACACTTCTTGTCCAAGAGTGACATTGCTTACTGCATATATGGAGCAGCGTCGTCACCTTAAAGTGCAACTAAAGGCAATTTTTTTTTTAATTTTGGATAGAATGGCTCGTTAGGGAGATTCACCCTCTCTATTTGACCTGTTTACTGTTACCATCAAAAGTTAAGGTAAAGGAAAATCTCAAGTTTTGGGTTGACATCAGAACAGTGACAGAGGGGAAATCTTTAAATGGGGACACTAGTTCTGGTGACCTTGGTGACACCCCAGGATTCCCTCCCTTTGGAGGGACTTCTTCTCACTTCTTGTTTTGGCTATGGGACAGGAAGTAAAGAAATATCCCCAATGGGACACAGATGGCAAAAAAAGTGATGGGGTTTATAGCCCTCCCTTATTCTATGCAATTTTTTTTTTTTTTAATTGTGCCTTTAGTTACATTTGAAGGCAGAAAAATGTCCAATTGTCTGGAATGCCTCTTGAAAAATTGCAGTGCACTTCCCAGTACATAAATGTTCCTAGGCACTCCTGTTCTGTAGCCTCATATCTGCAGTGTGAGATCTAAGGCACTCTGCTTGTACATTTCATTCTCACATTTGGACTATCTATGTCCAGTTGGCCAATTAATTCCAAGGTTGTTCAGATAGTTGGACTATCTACACTCACCGGCCACTTTATTAGGTATACCTGTTCAATTGCTTGGTAACACAAACTGTTAAAAAGGCCATTCACATGGCATGGCTGCATTTGGGCATGTAGACATGGTAAAGTGACTTTGAACATGGAAGGTTGTTGGTGCCAGACGGGCTGGTCTGAGTATTTCAAAAACTGTTGATCTACTGGGATTTTCACACGCAGCCATCTCTAGGGTTTACAGAGAATGGTGCAAAAAAAGAGAAAATATCCAATGATTGTGGATGCAGTTGTGTGGCTGAAAATGCCTTGTTGATGACAGAGGTCAGAGGAGAATGGGCAGACTGGTTGCTGCGACATTCATATGGTAAGGTCAGAATTTGGTGTATACAACATGAAATCATGGATCCATCCTGCCTTGTATCAAAGGCTCAGGCTGGTGGTGTAATGGTGTGGGGGATATTTTCTTGGCATTAGCAAGGTGTACCTAATAAAGTGGTTGGTGAGTGTATGTCCGCTTGGCCAATTCCAAGGTTGTTCAGATAGTTGGACTATCTATGTCCAGTTGGCCAATTAATTTTAAGGTTGTTCAGATAGTTGGACTATCTATGTTCAGTTGGTGACTTTTCATGCCATGGATGGTAAGCTGGTTGGATTATCTACAGTATGTTCAGTTGGCCACTTTTCTGTTTCAATCATTTTTATTGAGTTTTCATTGAGAGACAGTTTTGCAGTGAATCTGCTTAGGTCTTAAGGCAGATCAAGTCCAGTTGGCCACTTTTAATTCCAAGGTTGTTCAGATAGTTGAACTATTTATGTTAATTTGGCCACTTGTTATGTCCAGTTGGCTAGTTTTAATGCCATGGATGTTAAGATAGTTGGACTATGTTCAGTTGCCCGCTTTTAAGACCAAGGTTATTAAGGTAGTCGGACTATGAGTGTCCAGCTGGGTGTGTCTCTATCCAGACAAACAAGTGTGTTTTGCTCATGTCTTACCAGATACAAGGATTATAAGAAGTTTCCCTTCTGCCGAAAGCAAGCTGGTGAAGAATTTTAAAGTAGCGGGAATATCCTTGACATAGTACAGCATCTGTAATGACACAAGGCAAGAATTAGCTTGAGGCTGTGGTGCAGTATCCTATTACAAAATCTCCAGGAGGTGGATGGATCGCCAACTGAATGCCTGACAGCCGCTGCTCTACTGCCCTCTGAAAAGTGATCCATCACATAACGCTTTTCAGAGGGTGGTGGACACTGCGTGTGTGTGAAAGAGGCCTTCCTGTAAAGTTTTAACTCCTAAGCTTTCCTGTTAGTCAGTGAGACTGCCCATCACATTAACACAGTAAGTAACCATGCATGTTCTCGCTCCACTACACTTCTACTCCGCAATGTAAAAAAGATGTACCACTGTTCACTGTAATAGTACTGTGAGCCCAAGTTGCTGTAATGCACAACCCCAGATGGGTGTGTCCATGACAGTCTAGACTCAGGAAGTGAGTTGAATGACACTGGTCATCCCTTAGCCAAGAACAGCAGCACCATCTAGTGGAGGAGTGGATTTTTTGCAGGGGACAGAAAAGAGAGTATAGCAGTGAGAGCAGCTTTCCAATTTTTATTACTGCTGGGCATTTTTTTAAAACTGGAACTAATACCGTCAGTTATTTTCTTATTTTGATTTATGGATCTAGTTCATAGCTAACATGGCACCAACCTGAATCATATGAATGAAATCATAGTTTGTATATTGCTTCTCCTCTTTCACTTGAACCTCAAACTCTGTAGAAGTCTTTTTGTTCCAGTGGAAGGTTATATGGTCCAGGCCGGATGTCTTGGCCACACGCTCTGTAGATGCAGAACACAATGTGATTGAATTTGTCTTCAACATGAACTTTGGAAAGAATGAAGTAACTTTGTCCTGCTTTACTGTATGTCGTCTGGCTGAGTGCTAAAAGAGCAAAGTGCAGATAGCAGGCTCACCTTTGTAGCTCAACAACTGTTCAGGGCTGGGCTCAACAATATTGTTCTTAATGGAGACCTTAGGATATCTGTCATGAATCTTGGAGAGCATCTGCAAGTCTATTTCACCTTAAAAAAAGGAAAACAGGTTTCATGTTTCTAGTACTTCAAGAAATAAATCAAAATATTGTAGTTTGTTTTATTCTGTAGTGTGTTTCATGTTTTGTAGGGTTTAAATTGTCAAAAAAGCCCCAACAATGAACTTCTCTTATTTGCTCCCTTTCGGGGCCTACCGGGCACTCATACCCCCTTCCTGTCCAGGCTAATTTCCAGCTTGCAGCGCTGTTGCACTTTGAATGACAATTGCGCGGTCATGCAACACTGTACACATATGAAATTTTTATCATTTTTTTTGGTGGTATTTAATCACCTCTGGGATTTTTATTTTTTCTTAAACCAAAAACCACTGAAAATGTTGAAAAAAAAAAAGTTTTTTCTTAGTTTTTGTTATAAAATTTTGTAAATAAGTGATTTTTCTCCTTCACTGATGTGCGCTAATGAGGCTGCAGTGATGGGCGCGGATAGGCTGAACTGATGGACACTGATAGGTGGCACTGATGGGTACTGATGAGGAGGCACTGGTAGGTGCCAATGATGGGCATTGACAGGCATCACTGATGGGCACTGAAAGGCAGCACTCATATATGGCACTGATAGGCGGTACTGATAGTTGGCACCGATAGGCGGCACTGACTGGCACTGTTAGGTGGCACTGACTGGCACTGTTAGGCGGCACTGATGCACACTGATAGACGGCACTGACTGGCACTGATAGGCAGCACTGACTGGCACTGATAGGTGGCACTGATTGGCAGCACTGATAGGTGGCACTGACTAGCATTGATAGGTGGCACTGACTGGCACTGATGGGTGACACTTAAAGGCAGCTCAGATGGGCACTGATATGTGGCATTAATATGGCACTGATGGGCACTGAAATGTGGCACAGATGGGCACTAGTAGGTGGCATGGATGAGCCCTGAGAGCTGGCACTGATGGACACTGACAGACGGCGCTGCTGGGGCTACACAGATCATCAGGGCACACTGATCATCAGTGCTCTGATGATCTGTGTACATGTCCCCTCCGAGGAATACCGATTACCGGCTCTCCTCTCCTCACAAGCTGTCAGCATGACCGAGCCGACATCTTCAGCTCTTTCCGTGGATCGGTGATCCGCTGTGTCCGAGGGACACAGAGCACCGCCAATCGCCGCACTGCGTGCTGTGGGTGCCGCGCATGTGCAGTGAGAATGGGAGGACGTCATATGACGTCCTCCCAGAACGAGAGAACCACCTTGCGTCCATCATATTACTATATGGTGGGCGGGAGGTAGTTAAAGAATATGTAAACCCAACATTTCATATTCCTGATATGTTCCTGCTGTACCATGTACTTGTATGAAAATGTATCCTTTTCAATTTGTATTGCTTCCTGTATGAAAAATCCCTGGTGTTCCTGCCAGTATCTCTGCTTTCCTATTTAAAAACTGACCACGCTAGGCATGAGAGCACAGCGTGGTCAGTTTTCAGTTTTCTAGCTGCGCTGAAAACTCAGTTTGCTCACCTCCAATGACCAGACCTGGAGGAAAAGAAATTTAATCTCCAAACAAGGTTTCTTCACAGTGAGAGCTGTGAAAATGTGGAATAGAGTCCCTCAAGAGTTGGTACTGGCCAGCTCAGTGGATTGCTTTAAAAAAGGCCTGAATACTAACATTTATAGGTAAAGTTGATCCAGGGAATATCTGATGCCTCTCGGGCAAATTTTTTTCCCTGCAGGAGCAAATTGGATCATGCTTTGCTGAATTTTTTTTTGCCTTCCTCTGGATCAACTGTGGGTATAGGATTATAACTTTTTTTTTTAATGGTTTTTCAGCCAGACTAACTATGTAACTATGACCTATCCTTACCCCCACAATAACCCACAGCCATTCACCCATATGGACCACATCCTCACTTTGCCCTCTACAATGCAGTATCTGAGAAGCCCCTGGCCAGGACTGATGAGTTTCACATGGTGATACAGGAAAGATGGATGGAGCCCCATCCCTCTGCACAGACATTCTAAAGTTTGGTATGCCCTTGTATGGGGTATGCTCCCACTATGCCTCTCCACAATGCACTATTTGAGCAGCCTATAGGCAGGACTGATGACTTTCACATGGTGATGAAGGGTAAAAAGATGGTGGCCCATCCCTATGCAAAGACATTCTAATGTTTTGGCATGCTCCTGTATGGAGCAAATTTCCACTATACCCCCACAATGCAATATATGAGTAGCCAGTAGAAAGGACTGATGGCTGTCACATGGTAGTACATGGAAGATGGGTACCCATCCCTGGTCAAAGATTTCCTGAAATCTGGTATGCGCATAGGATTTTTGGAGTTATGAAATGGAGGATTGGGGTGGTGGATAATCAAGATTATGTCAGGAGCAGGCACAGTAGAGTGCCTATTATATTCTGTCAGTGTGGATTTGTTCATAATGTTTGTATAAATTTAATCTGTAATGTCTGTGAATAGCTGATGTTACCTGAGCCACTTCCTACTCCAAGGACATTGATGACTGGCTTCCCATCGCCTATGCTGAGAAAGACATGGCAAGAGAAAATCAAAGCATTAAAGATGAAGTGGTCTGAGCATACAATTACCAAGCACGTGTTAAACAAATCTGTTGTACTTTGCACTGGCACAGTCAATAAATAGAAAATCATCTGATATAAGTAGAACAAATTCCAAAAGACATCTGCCCTGGTCCATTTATTGGATGTAACACCCTCCAGGTCCGAGTCAGCAGCCTGGGGTGAGTCAGCCTGTGAGTGAGGCAGGAGTTCACCTCAGGGCAGGCTGGGAGTCTCTAACAGGTCAGGGCTTCTGGAGCCCTCCCACCCTTCCAGAAACGTAGAGAACTTTCTGGAAGAGGGGCGGAGGATGGGAAAAGGCTCCTGCATGTTTGAGGGACTTTGGTCAATTCCCTGGTAGAAGGCTGGGCATGGTACCCAAAAAAAACCCTTAAAAGTGGCAGAGCCTGAGCAGCAGGGCAGTGTCAGGTGGAAAATGGAGAGAGGAAGGCTGGAGTGAGGAGCCTTGGAGGGGGCCCCAGGGAGGGGAGCCCACCTGCAGTCAGGATTCTGGAAGGGAGGATCTCCTCTGTCTCATCGTCCTCTGTCTCTCATTGGCCTGTGAGGCAGGTAAGGAGCCAGCCCAGCATAAGGCTTGAAGGCAGTCACCAACCCGCCAAACAAAAAGAGAAAGACAGACTGAGTACTCCTATACCCCCATGGGCTAGATAAGGGGAGAGGACAGTCAGGTGCAAATTCTTGAGGAAAATCTGCTGCCCTCTGCCAGAAAGTTGTCAGTGGGATGAAGGTTTACCTTCTATCGTGACAATGACCCAAAGCACACAGCAAAAATTACCACACAGTGGTTGAACAAGAAAAAGGTGAACGTGCATGGCCTAGTCAGAGCCCAGACTTAAACCCCATTGGAAATCTGTTAAATGACTTGAAGACTACAGCCCACAAATGGTCACCATAACATTTAACTGAACTTGAGCAGTTCTGCAAGGAGAGGGCAAATATTGCAAAATGTAGACGTGCAGAGACATATCCCAACAGACTAAAGGCTGGATTAAAGAAAAATGTGGTTCAACAAAATTCTGACACAAGGGGGTGATCCTTTTTCCAACTCAGTGATTCTGTTATTGAATTTTTAAAAATGTTTCTGATATGTTGGTGCTATATCTTTCACTTGGATGGCATAAGTTGCACATATGTATGCAAATACAGTTGGATAAAACGAAAACTGTGTCTGTCTTCATTTCAGGCTGCAAAGCAACAAAATTTGATTATTTTAAAGGGGGGTGATTCTTTTCTATACCCACTGTATATCCCTCAATGTCACGTGAAATCACCCGTCATCCTTATATACAGTTGTGTTCAAAATAATAGCAGTGTCTTGAAAAAAGTGAATAAAGCTCAAAATCCTTCTAATAGCTCTAATATTTCCATACACACAAATGCATTGGGAACACGACACATTCTATTCCAAATCAAAACATGAAGAAAAATAGATCAAATTTGTGTTGTTCCTCTAAACAAATTGAAGAAAAGTGACTATTAGACTGTTCAAAAAAATAGCAGTGTTTGTATTCTTCTTTACCAAGTCAAACATTCACTATATAAACTGAAAAATGTTTGAAGATTTTGCTTTCCTTTGAATCAATTAATATTTAGTTGTATAAGCACTGTTTCTGAGAACTGCTGTACATCTGTGTTGCATGGAGTCACCCAACTTCTGGCACCTGTGAACAGGTATTCCAGCCCAGGATGATTGGACTACATTCCACAGTTCTTCTCTATTTCTTGGTTTTTCCTCAGAAACGGCATTTTTTATGTCACCCCACAAGTTTTCTATTGGATTAAGATCCGGGGATTGGGTTGGCCACTCCATAACGTCAATCTTGTTGGTCTGGAACCAAGATGTTGCACGTTTACTGGTGTGTTTGGGGTCGTTGTCTTGTTGGAACACCCATTTCAAGGGCATTTCCTCTTCAGCATAAGGCAGCATGACCTCTTCAAGTATTCTGATGTATTCAAACTGATCCATGATCCCTGGTATGCGATAAATAGGCCCAACACCGTAGTATGAGAAACATCCCCATATCATGATGCTTGCGCAGCCATGCTTCACTGTCTTCACAGTGTACTGTGGCTTGAATTCAGTGTTTGGGGGTCGTCTGACAAACTGTCTCCGGCCACTAGACCCAAAAAGAACAATCTTACTTTCATCAGTTCACAAAATGTTGCGCCATTTCTCTTTAGGCCAGTCAATGTGCTCTTTGGCAAATTGTAACCTCTTCAGCACATGTCTTTTTTTCAACAGTGGGACTTTGCGGGGGCTTCTTGCAGATAGCTTGGTTTCACATAGGCGTCTTCTAATTGTAAGGCTACGTTCACACTAGCCTTGTGTGCAGGCGGCAGAGAGGCGTTTGGGAAGCGTTTTTTTACCGCTTCCCAAACGCCTCTGCCAATTCTGCACATTACAGCACATGGTGCTGTTCTAACGGGAGCGTTTGCGTCGCGTCGCGTTGCGTCGCGGCAAAACGGACGCCTCTGGACGAGTCAGGAGGCTTTGAAGCCTCCTATTCTCGTCTATGGTGCCGCTCCGCAAACGCCCGGCCGGCGTTTGCGGTGCGGTTGCGACGCGGTTCTGCGGAGCGGTAACACCACTCAAACTGCATTATGTTTGTGGGGCATTATTAACGCTCGGCAAATGCCTAGCAACCGCCGCTAAACCGCGCATGCGGCGTTTGCGGAGCGTTTGCCGAGCGTTAAAAAAAACGCTCCGCAAACGCCGGACCAACGCTTGCCAAACGCTTAGGGGCGTTTGGCAAGCGTTGGCAAAACAGCCTAGTGTGAACGAGCCCTAACTGTACTCACAGGTAACTTTAGATCTTCTTTGATCTTCCTGGAGCTGATTGTTGGCTGAGTCCTTGCCATTCTGGCTATTCTTCTATCCATTCGAATGGTACTTTTTTGCTTTCTTCCATGCCTTTCAGGTTTTGGTTGCCATTTTAAAGCATTTGCAATCATTTTAGCTGAGCAGCCTATCATTTTCTGCACTTCTTTATATGTTTTCCCCCTCTCCAATCAACTTTTTAATCAAGGTACGCTGTTCTTCTGAACAATGTCTGAAACGACCCATTTTCCTCAGAATTTCAGAGAGAATTGCACTGTAACCAGCATGTACAACATTTGCTGCCTTCCTTCCTTAAATAAGGGCAATAATTGCCACCTGTTTTTCAAAGAATGAATGACCTCACTAATAGAATTCCACACTGCTATTATTTTGAACATGCCCCTTTCAATTAGTGATTCAATTACACAGAATCAGCAGCATGCATGTCATGACTGTTGGGTCTGTTGGATTTTTATTACTCTACTACACCTGCTAGTAAATTATTTGCCATGTAGAAATATTATTTCTACCAAAAACAGTGATTGATCAGGTTAGTGATGTCTGACTGCTATTATTTTGAACACAACTGTATATATTAAATGTCCAACATCATCTACACACTAGCTATGATTTCAGAAATAGGTTTGACCTCATAAAACGGGAACCCAGTCCACTTTTATGTTTGGGATGTGGATTAGGTGACAGGTCCTCTTCAATAGAGGCACTGGTGTTTAGAAAAGACTGTGAGAAACACAATTGTTCATTTGCAGCAGACTGATTATTCCTGGGGCCGTATTAATTGGAAGTGCAACTAGCACCCAACAAATGTGTTTAGCAAACTGTCGAAACAAATAAAAACTCTTCTATTTGTAAACAGGTTTACAAAACACAATTAAAAGTATCACATAGTATCACATAATCACATAAACAATGAAGCGGATGGCATTGCCATTGCCATATGAGCTTACTTCTGGTCTATGGCCATCCACTTTCATAAGCAAATATTTTATTGGCCCTGGGTGCTGAATGTGCCTGGGCAATTGTTGAAATTACACCTGGCTAATGGAAGTGGATGTTAGAGTGCTGTATTCACAAATCAAAGACAAGACTTCTAGACCCCCTTTTAATTTTGCACTCCTCTCCCATAATGTGGCCCACCAGTTGGACCGATCCTACTACTCTCTCTCTCCCCCCCATAATAGCGGTTCCCTACACCCAAATGCAATAATCGCATATGCTTTCCCACCTACAGTATGTAATATAAAACAAAAATCCTTGACACCAGGCAATATCTTGAACCATCCAGCCCACACCCCTTCATCTCCTATTTCAGAGACCATAGTACCCAATCTTGGCTCACAACACTACCACCACCTATTTTGATTAGAAGGCCCTAAAATGTTTCTAAATCACAAACCTGTATAACTGTTATCTCTAAAACCTGTACTATGGCTGTTTGACATGATTTTTGGCAGCCCTCAAAGATCTACATCGGCTCATACACAGGAGATCTTCTACAAATAAGGTGACCTTTTTTGACTGAGAGTCAGCCAGTGTGAGTGATGTCTGGTTGTATTGGTAATAAGACAATTCACTGCAGGTCAGGTTGACGTTTCTTTTGGGAAAATATCAGCTTTTTGATCTCTTCCTTATCAATAACATTCACAACAAGTCACACTTTTAGCATTTACCAGCCAGGTGTCAACTCTATGCTCTACCTATATAATTTATTTAGAAGCCCAAACATGGCTACAGGTACAAGAAGGATTTGTACTAGGCACTATCTGCAGCACCACACTGAGAGGCCCTGTTGGGCTTCTGGAAAGTCCTGTAGAAACAAAGCCTCTGTGTTAGATGTAAATGGTGGCAGACAGTTGATTGTGGGTGTGGACAGAATCTCAGCTTGATTGTAGAGGTGTGGATAATATATATTAGCAATATACTGTACCTTTCTATTTATCATATTTAATGAATCAGTTCTCACCCATGCAGCAGCCACAGACACATACCACCTACCTACTATATCTCCTCCTTAACTCCATATCCCCCCAGAACTGGTATCTTGGGGTGCATTAGGCTGCCATAACACCCCAAATGAATTATGTGC